TTTATCCTGAAAAGAAGACAGAAATATCTGGGACATGTTAGGAATGAAGCCAGTGTGTCTGCCATGGCAGGCTTGCCACTAGGGTGATCAGATGTCCCTTTTTTTAAAGGGACAGTGCTGTTTTGGGGACTTTTTCTTGTATAGGCGCCTATTACCCTCCCACTCCCTGTCCCGTTTTTTCACAGTTGCTATGTGGTAACCCTACTGGCAGCTGGAGGAACATGTAAAAGGGGCCGACCAAAATAATCCTTCCAGGAAACCGTACTTAGAGGAGGGAAACTTATGGGACTCTGCATGTCCTTGGTTAAGAGCGGCCCAGGATAGACAGGGATGTGCACCATCCTTGTGCCTTGTTCATGTCCTGCACAATGTTTGACAGCACGGGAAGGATTCAGATTGTGTATCTGATTATCAGTGGAGAATCTTTTAAAGTCTTTCACTGTCTCTCAGAACTCAGGAAAACACAAATCAATAAATGTTAGCTCTGCCTGGCTAGCATGAGGAACAGACGTGTTAGGGAAGATCGTGGCCACTTTGTGCAGTGGTGGTTAAATACGGTCCTTTAACATTCTTAGCCTGCCGACTGATGTGCTGTCAGGTAGTGAAATGGTTGCCTCCTACTGAAATAGACACGTGACTATCAAAGCATACATTCTCTGTAGTTCACCCAATGCCATTCTCTGACTAAACTCCACCAAGCTCAACGCGGTTATAGGCTCTTCTCTGGAAAAGGGACATAGTATATTGAAGGAGATGTAAAATCAGGGTTACAACCCAGTGTGGTTATTAGAAATCCCACAGAACATTTTACAAAACAAGTGTGCTAACCTCACCCCCATCCTGGCCTAATCAGCCCCATGAGCCAATGGCTCAGAGAAACTTTGTCTCTGACAGCCAGGCCCAATTCCAACATGGATAATTTTTTGGCACTTGCAAGAGCTGGTCAAAAATGCAGAAATATTTTCATTGAAATTTCAAATTTTCTGAAAGATTTGATCGGTCTGTGAACTGAATGAAAAACAGCAAAATGTATGGACACTTTACAAATCTTTAATTGAAATCTTGAAAATGTTCATCCTGCTGTAGTGCCTACCTAAATTTCTCTAGTAATTTCAACTTGTGATTGAGTCACTTCCTGTCTTAAACTGTTGTACGCTACCAGCTGCTGCATTCAACCTCAGAGGTGGTTGCATTTCCCTGGTGAGTAAAATTCTACCTTTTCTATAGTTAAGGTGTGTGGAGATGGAAGGTGGAGTAGTAATGCAAGATATTAATGACCCTCAGAGGAACAGAGATTTTGCTTCCAAGAATAAATTAGCTCTGCGGCAGTGGAGCTCAAGAGGCTAGCAAATCATTACATTTTTTGTTCTTAATGTTCACTAGTAGCCCATGGTCCAAATTCAGAACTAGACAATGTAATTCAATGCCATTCATACTAATGGAATTAACACCCCGTACACCAGGTCTGAATTTAGTCCCATAGCTTTAAATACGGTCCTGTTTTGTTTGCTTTTTTTTTAAAAAACACCACTTTTCCAGTATAACCATATAGAATGCTTCAAAAACAACATCTAAATAATGTGCTTTCTGCTAGTGTATATCAAGATTTATCGAACTGCACTTTCGTGGTTGACATTTATGTATTTTTCCCTCAGCAATTAATTAGTTTTTCTTTCTGACAATAGACAGACAGGCCCTGGTTTTCAAATCAGCATGGGGGTGGTGGAGAGGGAAACCATTTCTCTGCATACTTGACTTTTCCAGTCAGTGGTCCTCACAGTTATCATTTCCAGCTAGTCCCTGCATTTGAGTATTAAATAGCATCCTCTAGCTATGTTCAATTGATATTTTTGCACCCTTTTGTTTGCCCAATTACACTCTATCCCCCCCCCCCCCCTTAAAAGGTAGGGAGTCTGGAAAAATTAAAAATCTGTGCACAAAACACTCCAGCCTCTTCATTATCTGATCTCTCTTTACCTACTATGGAGCAAGCCTGTGGTGAGAGAAGAAGAAACAAAAGGCATCCAAGGTCACAAGTGTTTCAGGGCTCACTCCCCCTTCCACCCCTCCAGGAGCTTTCAGCAAACCAAAGAATAGCAGATGATTTTCTAAATATTATTTGTATAAGAACAATGCTCAGGGCTGCGTTTAAATGTATTGGTTGTACACATACAAAGTAAGCAATGCTGAACAATTGCCTGTCGCATCAGCTACGCCGCTTGTGTAAAAAATTTTTTAAAATTTTTTAAAAATTTTTTTTATCATTTTAGCAGAAGCAAAATAAATTAGTATCAACTGTGAAATGAAATGGCTGATGTGAGGTAGGGACATTCCTTTTCACTGTAAATAAGGATAGAAGAGTTCTTTCAGAATTATACACAGGATATGCTTAGGCTACAGATATATTCATCCCCTGGAGCACAAGATTCAAAGCAGAGTTAAGGTGCTTGTCTGCACAAGTTTCTGTTTAGAAAGCTTACTCTATGGTTCTGTTTTCCAAATAAGAGTCAGAACTGGTTGAAAATTTTTTGTCAAAGGCATCTGCTTGAATGAGCACAGAGCCTGAACTATTCACTCCTCTCTACAACTTTTTCCTATAGACTAGGGTGCAGGCTGGAGGCATGTTGGTTGCATTGTCACTATCTTTGCTGTACATAGATTTGTGCAGCTGATTGTCCTGGTTACAGCTTTGACTCCTCTCTGGAGTGCATGCCCCCTCCATTATTAGGCCTCTTGCCTTCACCTGGCCTGGGGTGGAATCCTGTGATTCTCTCTCTCTCTCTCTCTCTCTCTCAGATGAGCCTCAGGCTACTGCTCCTTTAAACCAACCATGAATACTCAGCCTGTGTGTATTCAGTCTCTGAAAAGCTTCCCTTCAGTAGCTGTGACCAGTGGTTAATATAGTGACTAGACAGATGTCTTAAAATACAATATGGTTTAATCTTAACAGTAAGCACAGCATAAGGGGAAAAAGGATTTAAAAACAATAAAAGGCCTAGATGCTGTTCTGCCTTACCTAAAGCTTACCATCTCCCTGGCAGTTAGGAAGGCTCATCTCCTTAAACCCATCCTGTGCTGTCTGTGTCAGTGTGTTTCCCTGCAAACAGGTCCTGCAACTCTCTACGCACTCTTTTTCCAGGGAGTCACTTTTTAACTGTTTCTGTCCTTTTGAGCTGTCTGTTCCCAGTCTAGGCAAAACAGCTGTGTAACTTTTTGGCTGATGCCTGTAAGTACTGGGTTCACAACTTAATACCATAGGCTTTATTTCTAAAACTCAGCCCTGTTTGCCTGGAGGGGTTTTAGGTAGGCCCATTGTGTTACCTTCCTGCTATTAAACTAGTGCCAATGTGCATACAAAAAGAAAAGGAGTACTTGTGGCACCTTAGTACTCCTTTTTGCGAATACAGACTAACACAGCTGCTACTCTGAAATGTGCATACAGTAAGTATTTTAATATAGTCCTATAATAAACCTTTTCCATGACTTGGGGACATACAGCATTCATGCGTTAATACAGATCAGTGTTCCTAAATTGCATAGCAGCCCCATGTCCATCACACTGACACCACCTGTGAGCACCACACAAACATACTAATTGATATAAAACTGTTATTTTGATGAAGAAGAAAGGATGGAGAAACAATGAAGACTGAAGAAAACACTAACCTACTCTTCCTCTTCTGTGCTAAGGGAAACACGATGAGGGAACTGCAGGGACTGTAAGTGGACGAGAAAAATAAGGCTTTGTGAAATATGCCAATACCTGCCTATTAACTATGTCTGTTAAAATAGGTAACTGAAGCAATTTAGGAGGTTAAAATATTGTCACCGCAGTAAGTGGCTGTATTATTCAGATGCTTCTCAAGACTTTGGACTAAGACTTGGCAAAATAGCCAGTAAAGCAAACAGTCATAAAGCTGAGGTCAGAAAAGCAATAATAGACTGAACCAAAAGAAAAAGCTGCTCCTTTTTCCCCAAGGTGGTCCAATGTACTAGGAGGTTGACAGGTGACTCATGGAAAAAGAGTCTCCTGGGGGAATAAAACGTTCCACATTTACTTTATCACTGTGCAATGCTTTATTTACACAGATAAAACTGCTGAGTTCTGGTGCACAAGATCTGTAAATTAACACAATGGAACAAAACATTTTTCATAAGTAAGGTAACTGAAAACATTACGGTTTCCAGAACATATCATGTAAATGTACAAATTGGCATACATTTGACTTGCATTTATGTCACAATCTTTGAGATTGTTCAGTACTTAATTCAAAATAAGTTATTTTTAAGAACTATGTTTTTGAAACTTTGTACAATACACAAATCTAAAGTGGTGCAATTTATGAACAGGAGGAGCTAAATAGGAAATATTCAGATCAAGAATCCATTAAGAATCCATTTGCTAAGTTTTTGCTTTTACGCCAACTCAGTGCTAGGGTTTGAGTTTCAATACATCAAAATTCTGCAAGCTGTTCTTCGGTGATCTCATTCATAAATTACAGAAGTCTCACAAGATCACGTCTTGTGAGTTTCTGCCATCTTGGGTTGAAATCTTGACTGCATTTAAACCAGAACTAGAAAATCAGCCACTTCCAGTTCTGAATATGATCTAGAAACAAAATTGTAAGGGCAGGTTTGGACATGGAAATTTGAATCTGAAACCTAGCACTTTTAAACTATACACCTCTTTACACGGCTAATTCATCTTCAGGTTTTTGTTTTGTTTAAATTGTATTAGGATGTTTCTATCTCCACACCCAATCTTCAAAATTCCAAGGGGCTTGGGCCATTTCTAACAATTAACAAAGACTTTATTTTTGACTCCTAAAACTACAATTTAGTATTCCCCTTCTTTTTTCTCACACAGTTAAAAAAAAAAATTGGAAACATGTAAAATAATTTTTACAGAAACATTCCTGAGTACCTTTTGGTGTTCAATCAGTACTGTTCCCACACTTAGTTATGTACAATTCTTATGGTCACCCGTAATGTTATAATCAGATTTTCTCTTAATATTTTATTAGGAATTACTACACAGGATCTTTCTGCAAAGTAACTTCAAAAGTACAAACATTGTTTTGACACTATATTAACACATCTCCAGGTTTTTCCGTTCAGTTGTCAACTGACTAGCACTCTTCATTTGTCAGCATTCATATATGATACGTTTTGCCAGTTCACTCAATTCCATCTTCTTAGTAAACATTTCCTCAAACATTTTGTTTTCTTTTGGAGTGAAGTGGTTTTTCCAGTCACCAACAGCACCTGGGAGAGTGAGAATGGGAAATGAACAGCTGAGGTTGCTTTGCCATTGGACAGAGAATGATTTACTGTGTTCTCTTAAACAGTCTGGCTTTGTTAGTACAAAAGTTTGCACACATTGTTTTATTATTATTATTTTGCTCCCTTGTCTTAGCATAAAGATGATGCAAATGAGTAACGCTTAGGGTTCAGGTGAGGTTCCTCGTGGAAAGAGGCTGGCTTATCAGGTGCCATATCATAATAACCATTATATCTTCAGACTACTTTATCTTGCTCTAGCTACCTAATTTCCAGTTTAAAGTCACATGCCTACAAAACTGTTTTTTTTTTCTCTGGGCCAGCTTCCACATTTCCATGCATACCTATAGTGTAGTGGAAATAATTAATAATAATTTCAAAGGACTGTCTGAATAGGAGTAGAAGAGAAGCAGGATCAGTAGTCAGCACTGCTGACTCTCATAATATTTGTGTTTTTCTAAATGCCACAGCTTCTGGAGGCATGCAAGATGGGAGAATCTCAGCTTTCATTTAAAACAAACCACCCTACATTTCTAGCCTTCATGATTGCAGAGCAAAGCTTGAAAATGTGATTCAGGCATCCCTTAAAGGCTCAGAAACACCCCAGAAGACAATTATAAAGAATCCAAAATGTACTTTAAAAAAAAAATCTCATTCATTTTAAGCTACTCTTTTGATCCTTGGAGGGCCTGACTCATGATTTTTGAATGCTCGGGGTTGGCAATGCTGAGTGGAGGAACTGGAAGAGGAATATATTACTGGTAATTCATTATCAACAGATTCCCACTCATCCATTTTGATTGTGTCAGCCTATTTCTTTAGCATGTCCACTTCAATAAGACAACAGGTAATATATAAGATAAACACTAACTGCAACCACTCTCAAAAGGAATGTGTTTGTGTGGTTTCTGATAAACTGAGTGACCTTGCCATGCAGTAATGAGGGTACACATTAGCATTTGTGAAGGACAGAGGTAGAGAAATATAGATAAAGAAAGAGACAGTTAAGCTGCATGAATCTTTCCTTTCAGTTCTAAATGCTCATGTAAAACAATCTGTAGCTCACGAAAGCTCATGCTCAAATAAATTGGTTAGTCTCTAAGGTGCCACAAGTACTCCTTTTCTTTTTGCGAATATTAGACTTGTAATTTAGACACTTCCCTGTGTCTAGAGTGGCCAGTCATTACAAACCAAAGAAACTGGAAAGAAAGCATACTAGAAATGGATTCAAGAAGAATTCCTTCGTCACCCTATGGGCATGATCCAAAGCACAAAAAGTCATTGGAAATACCCCTAGTGTCCTCAGTGAGATTTGGCTCAGGCTTTATATGAGATTTTGTTGGGCCGGTTCCAACCAACGTACCTTTTCGGAATATCAGCTTCCTATTGGATGTGAGTGCACAAACGGTGTGATTTGGGTCACTCTTTTCTTTTTCTACATTGCTTTTCATCTCAGTGAATGACGACTTCTCACAAACCTCTTTGATTTCATTGTCACTGATGTTTACTCCCAGAAATACACTCATTTTCTTCACAACCTTAGGAAGATCCTGAGATATTTGAAGAGTAAGGTATTTGTTTTCTAAGCAGAATATCAGATTTTATTTCTAAACCAAATAAACAAAGATTTTTCCTTCCAAAAGACACTGTTCAAGCAAAACTGTCACATTGGTGTGTACACATGGTATCTATATGGGAGGCCTGATTCATCTCTCGCTTGCACCCATATAAATCAGGAGTAATTCTATTGAAGTTACTGGAGTTACGTGTGTGCAAATGATACAAGTGAGAAGATAGTCAGGCTCAATGGGTGTACATTCTCATTTAAATGTATTGAAAAAAGTTGCATGGCCAATTTTGGTATCAGTTCAGGAAGGCAGTCAAGCATTTCTCTAACTTTCAGCGGGAGTAGTTCTCCTTGCCTTCATTAGGAATATTAACTTGCTAAAGTTAGGCATATAGTGGAGTATCTAGCTGAACTGGGGTCTGTGGGTAAAATTTTCAGAAGACGTTAAGTGGCTTAGGAGCTAGAACTGAATGGATTTCTATTTCTTCTCCTCCCCCAAAGGAAAATATTGCAAAAGATGAAAAAATACATTTTTATAGAAATTTTCAGAGAAAAATTGAGACTTTTCATCAAAATATCCAAAACCTGACAACCACAGTTTGTTGTCTTGGGCGGGGGGGGGGGGGGGGGAGGGCATTGTTTTTATATTCAAAACTGGAAATTCTTGAGGAGAGCAGACATTTCCCACAAATTTTTTTTGTCAAAAACCCAATTTTGTGGTGTAAAATAGTTAGAATGGAAAAAATTTCACCAGCCTTGTTAGGAGTTCAAATTCCATAGGCTCTGAATGGGACCTATGCTCCTAAATCTTTTCAGCTCTTTTGAAAATTCCGCTCTGTGTTACTAGAAACAGACAGAAGATTCTGGTACAAGAGAAGTTTTTCACAGCCTGGCAGTGTGATCTAGCTGTCTGTGCACAGGAGTAAGAGGCAGGGACTGTATGTTAGTCCTGGTTCTAACCCTGATTCTTGCTGTGGCTTTGTGCAAGTTAATCACTCTGTAACTCAGTTTCTCCATATGTGAAATTAGGATTTACTACCTACCTTACCTATGTTATGAAAATTAAGTAGCTAATACTTGTGAAACCTTTTCAAGATAAAAGTGCAGTACAAATACTAAGTATGTTTGTGTTATGAACTTGTTCTGTCTTGTACCTCTTTCGTTTAATTTGCTCTTTAAATTCCAGTGATACAATTTTGCAACAGCTTTGTTTTTTTGTTTTTTGCTGCATGAGATGAGAAATATGTTTACCTTCTTCATGTCTTCATAGAATAAAAATAAGATGTTTCTGTCATTTTTATGCTCTTCCCAGCTTAAGAAATGATCAAACCAGGATCCACAGACAACTGTGAGAAAAACAAAATGGGATTTATATAAACTTCCTTGAGAAATAATTCTAACTATATAGCATACACTAAAACAAATGTTCTCTTCCTACCGTGCAGTGAGAGTGCACTATACTCCCCTGACTGGTTCAATTCCTTCTGTTTACTGGATCAAACTGAATGCCCAAAGTTATTCAACTTCTTTTTTTGCATGCACTTCTGGTTATGGAATTCTGGTGTTCTTTTGAGAAACGCATTTGAAGCTGAACACTGACTACAAATGCAAGGAAATGTGAGTAGTCCCACTGAAATCTATGGCATTATACACTTACAAAAGTTAAGCATGTGAATAAGCATTTGCAGTATTAGTGCCGTCATTTGGGAAGACAGTAATCACTTTACCACAAAATGCAGCCATCTCTGGAGTGAAACACAGTAGCTGTTAATAAGTGCACAGCCATGTGTCAAAAATTTTAGGAGAGGAAGTGAAGAATACCCTATCAATTTAAACTATCGGGGAAAACTGAGGCAGAGTGGATATTAGCCCCCAAACTGGTACTTAGCCACTGCAATGTTGCCAACTCCTATGACTTTATAATGAGTCTCAGGATATGTGCTGTTTTTCTTAAAGTTGCACCATCACTTTTTGAAATCAAGAGGTTGCAGGAGCACCTCAGCTTTCACTTAAAAAAAAGAAAAGTTTCTGGCCTTTCTGTTTGTAAAGAGGAGATTGAAAATGTTGAGTGAGGATCATCCTAAAGGGTTCAGAAACCAGATGACACAAAAGAAGAATCCAACATTTATTATTTTTTTTAAATCATATGATTTTTAAACCAATCTCTTGATTTTTCAGTGGCCAGACTCATGGTGTTTGAGCACTTGGGGTTGGCAATACTGCAATCCCCACTCACTTTGGTGTGTCTAATGCTGCTGGTGGTTCTATGGCCTGTGTAAAGCAGGAGGTTCGACTAATAAACATATTGTTCCCTTCTGACCTTAAAGATGTATGAAATGTTACTCCCTTGGGGCTTGTGATCAGCAGGTACAATTTTGCTTCCATTAACAAGTGGCCAAATTAGCTTCTGTAGTGCAGGATCCAGCCTAAGGGGCACAAGCAACAAAACTGTGGCTGACTCCTGTGTATGTGCAGCAGGACAGGGAAAGGACTCCCTTTGCCTTCACCCTTGTCCTGAAGTCAGTGGGACTTCGCACAGGTGCAAGAAGATCTCTTAGCATGTATCTGTAGAAAAACCAAGTTGTGGCTGAACTAATGGTTTTATCCCCACTCCAGGAACACACACAAAGTACTACAAGATAATAGTCCCAGCTATCGACAAGTGATGGGCTACATTGATTTTTTTTAAATTATCCTTTTTCTTCCATCAGCATTAGGTGCTCAAAACAGACAGTGATAAGGCCCTAGACCCTGCAAATCACTTAAGCATGTGCTCAACTGCTTTTGCTGGGTTGGGAACACAGGAAAGCCTGCTGATGTCAATGGAAAACTACTGACTTCAGTGAGCTTTGGATCAGGCCCCAAATGAGTAGCATTTTGTGTTTCTTTTTAATTTCCTACAGCTGTTTGTTGCTGTATTGATTCTTGTGTAGCATGTGTCCAGCAGAAACAAACTGGTATAAATGAGTAATAAAACACTGAAAATGGGGATGGATAATGGGAACAACGCCACCAGCACAATCTTAACTTCCACATCAGAATCAAAACGGCTACTCATAAAGGACTCATCCATGTCCTTGGGGTTTGGAACTGGCAGCTCAAGATAACCCGCCCGTCACAGGGCAGGGTAGAGTCTGTGGGTGATGGAGACTTCAACAGGTCAAGGCTTACAAATAAAACCTTTGTTTGGATCCAGCCATGCAAAACTATCTACCGGAGTGGGCTGGCAGTGTGGGTTGAAATCAGGATTTGAATTTTGCTGTTTGAACCTATCTATGGCACAAACGTTCCAAAAAGAAGCATCCACATTTATAAAGGGCCCCAGGGAAAAAATACGGGTCATGAATGCAAAATAATAAAAAGAAAATAATAAAAAATACACTGATAAATGAAAAACAAAGATAAAATAACAATTTGGAATGAATAAACAGGCTTGATAGCTATAGGGCTCAGAATAACATTCACCTTCACATTCAATAAAGGGAAATGTGTTTTATATGCTCTCTGATATGTCAGTTTAAACACTTGATTCCTTTCTGGTGTGCTCTTAGACACTAGGGAAAACTCTGCTGAGCATACTCAGAAGAATACCCACGTCTTTAAAAAGGGAGCTTATAAGCACTTTTTCTCCTTTCACTGGAATGGAGGATCCTGTTGCAAATTACCTTATAAGCTGATTTCAAGTCAGGGGGACATTAGCATCTTCAGGTAAGATGTTGTGTGATAGACCCTTTCTTTACCATTTGGTGAAAAAACACTAAATGAACTGTCTCTCCAGATTTTTTTTATCCTAAACCTAAAGGGGAAGCTGGATATTCAAGCTCAGCTGGTCTTGTAGTTAAAGTGGTTGGTCTTCTGGGGGTTGCAAAAACTGGGATAAAGTATTTTTCTGTCAAATCAACAGGGACATTCCTGTTTAGGGGGGACATGTAGCTACCTATGTTTTTGTAAAAGCTGGGATAGTGTTAATTTGCTTTAATATAGAATGGGGATTAGAATCAGCAGGTCAATTTTATTTTGCTTGCTTGTTTTTTGGATGGACCAAGGGTCAGTAACTTGTTTAGGCAAGGGTTGGTCGCAAAATGTTTTTCAGGCATGGGGAAAAAAAATGCTAATGCCAGTTCTGATAGAGTTTGCTGCCTATGGACTGTTAACTTGTCTGTATGGAGGGCTGACGTGGAGAATTGTGCTTGTTGAACTTTATTTTCAGGATGAATTCTGCTATCAATCTAAGGCCCTGCTCCTGCAGAGTGGCAGCTTGCTGGACCCGTGAGCAGACCCACTGAAGTCAGTGGGGATCATAAAAGTGCAGCAATCAACCCACTCTCCAGGACTGGGGCTTAAGCAAAGCTTCGCTGACTAAATCATTTACTGTTGACCAGAAGTACATGATGTTTCTGATGTTGCAATAAGGCCATTAAAGAACAGTGTCATTAAAGAGGACAGTAATTAAATTTAAGGGGGCACATGCGGTGTTTCCTATTCCAACTATAGGAAATACTGTAAATACCACACTGAAGGGATAGTAGCTACTGTGGTTAAGTAAACAAATTGTTTTCTTTGATCTCATTTGTACAAAATGTACTGCTGATGTAAAGTAACATGCATGATTTGTGTAAGGGGGGGGAATGCCCTGTAAATAAGGAATTTTCACACTTATTTATATTTCTCACTTCTTACCATGTGTTATAAGTTTGTAGGCTAGAGAGAGAGAGAGAAAAGATAACACTCATCCTTACCATCTCCCCTTAAGAACAGCTCAAGGAAAATAGTCCATGAATCGATGGTGGGGAGATTTGGGTTATCTCTGTAGTAGTGAAACATAGAAACTGCAATATCTTTTGGATTTCTGATGATGTAGAAGGCCTGTAAAAGAAGACACTATGATTACTAAGGATCACTTTCTTCTTTTAGAGCATCCACTTGCATAGGTGTGAGGTTTTTTTACATGCCTTTTAGATAACGTCAGCCCCGATGTGGTTATGGGTCAGGGTTCTTTTACTGATCATCTTCCAGTCAAATGTCCTTTACAGTTAAAACAGCATTAAGGTAGAGGAGGGTATTTGTGGGGAAAAATCACTAATTGACGGATTAACAGGCAGTAATGAACCAGTGGCGAAAGCTGGACGTATATGTGCCCCTCCACTAATACAGTATTAGTGGTTGGTACACAATTGCATATGGGTTTCCTATATGTGTGTGAACTGGAATATATGCAAGAGACAGCTTTCATATTAGTTCATGAGTTAATATATGATCTCAATAAATCCCATGAGTTAAACATTTACTACTTGTCATTCTCATATAAGCTGCATATGATCTGTTCCATGAGAACGGTTGCAACTAGAATTGGGCCTGAACCAAAAGCCTGCATCTGAATAACCATGAAGTTTGCGTGTTTGAAATCCAAACTTGGATGCAGAGCTGAATTTTTCCAGTGGCCGCCAATATTGCTATGCGGAAAAGCAAAAACTGTAGGTGAGTGTGTGAGATCTATCAAGACTTGGATTTGTGGCTGAAAACTTACTTTTAGTCCTTTCTTAAGTATGTGCCTTTGGTTTGCATAATTGGTATCCTTGCCTATAACCTTCTTTTGCAAACAATCTATATGTGTCTGAAATTCCACAGTCCTACCAAGCACTTCATCCTAAAGAACATTCCTGAGGAACATTCCAGTCATGTACATTACAGTCAACTTCATGTTTCTGAGAGCAGGGAAAAACTATGAATCTTGAATAGGAATAAAACTCTAGTTTTGCAACACACTAGCTTCAAGAGGATAATTGGAGGCATAGGTTAATGAAACATATAAGCAGATAAGCATGAGCAATGAAACACTATTAGATTAATTATAAAGTGACTCATTAAAAGAAGTGTGATTGTAATAGTAGGGTAGTCATCACATGGCTTTCTTTCACACGTGCATGTATCCCTTACACTTCATTATGTAATTCTAGCTCCATTGATCATTACACTGAACGGAAATGGTATACAAGGCCTTTCACTCTTGATATGTATTTGTGCCTCTCTGACTAAAACTAGATGTATGCAGTGTAGTCATGGCCATGTGGGTCCCAGGATATTAGACACAAGGTGGGTGAGGTAATATCTTTTACTGGACCAACTTCTGTTGGTGAGAGATCAAGCTTTCGAGCCACACACAGCTCATCCTCAAGTTCAAAAACTTGTCTCTCTTACCAACAGAAGTTCGTGCAATAAAATATATTACCTCACCCACTTTGTCCCACAAAGTAGATGTCATTCTATGATGAAGTCTCATCTGCAAACCCAGAAATTTAAGTTCAGGTTAAGGGGCATATATTGCCCCCATCTGGATATGCAGCATCCATTGATGTCACTGGGAGTTGAGCACATGGTTTAAAGGCAGAATGTAGGTCTAAGTATACTTAGATTAAGAAACTTTTAATTACATGTAGTTAAACTGTTTGCTACTAGCGTTATTTGAGGATGCTCAGGCTCTTGTATGTTTAGTCTTTTAAATCAAGTTATTTGTAGCTGATGCTCAAAGACATCTAAGTGCAAGTGCATTTCCATGCTAGTATATAAGGAAATTTGGCACTTTGATAACTGTGGCCATTTCAAATCGAGTCTCACAAATGTCTGAAACATAGTCTGAGGACTGTGTTTTGCAGGACAACCGATGTCAGGCAGGTTGTAATGCAAGTGGGGGAGGCATGCTTCAGACCTTTCATTATTTAATTTATACCTTGAACTAGATCAGTGTTGCAGGTCTGATGGCAAGATGTTGGCCCTATGTTATCTCATTATATTTTATGCTAAACAGTACCTGTTTACTGACATGCTATTTTGGAATAAATCTAATTCTGGTGGAGTAAGTAGAGATGAGTTATTGGCTTTTGCTTAATTGCTGGGAAGTCACTTCCATCATTCATATCTGAAAAACCCAGTGCTTTTGCCATTATGAATCTGTATGATTCTATCATAGGTTATCTGCATCAGTGAAACTTACATATATGTTAATATGTTCTAGCTCAACCAATAAATAGTGATTTAGGAATTACTCCATGAAATTTTAACGCCTGTGTTATGCAGGTGGTCAGACTAGATTATAATGAAAATTTTAAACACATCAGATTCAACAAATATTTTACACTATGAAATTTTAAATAACATAAGGCCACCACCAGAATGCTACTCTGGTTAAATTCAGAGTAACCCACTGAAGCTAGAGAGTTATTCCAGATTTACACTGGTGTGGCTGAAAGCAGAATTTGCCACTGTAACTTGATACTGTAAGTACTGTGTGTTTAAAAATGGCTACTTCCAGACAAGACAAAATATATACTTAATTTGAGAGAGTTATATTGCAGCTTATTTTACCTTGCATTGTTTGACCTTAAAATTTGACGGTAACATGTTGTAGTCCAAGTGAGTTGGGATGATTCTCTTGGATGAAAGATTGTTCAGTTCTTCCACTCTGGAGATGTCCCCAAACTCAATAGGTGATGTTAGGGTGACTTTGGGAGTGTAAATCTGCATTATAATTTGTGCAAGCCAGTGAGTGCCTTCAGACAATTATTTTTAAGGAAAAAATGGGGAGAGAGGAGAAAAGGATTTATTACTAGAAAAATATACCGATACAGGAAAAGTTTGGAAGTAGCTCACTTGTTTGCAAACTGAAGCTCTGATCCTGCAACACTTAGGCATGTGAGAAATTTTACACCTATGAGCAGTTCTGTTGAGTCCACATATAGAATTAGAGCTGTAGCTGATGTATGAAATACTCAGAACTTTTCCTAGTGGATTTAACACTGATACTAAAACAAACCTTTTTAGAAAATGTGCATATTTTTCAGATAGTTTTATAGAAACTAAAATGTAGTCCTATGCTTCAATTTTCCTAATGAAGCTTAAGCATAAAACTTATATACCCACCACCTAGCTGGCAAACTAACACGTTAGATTACGTATTTTCAAAAGTAACACTGACTTAATTTTTTTTGGGGGGGGGGGAATGAATACACAGACAAGCACCATAAAATTACTTAATACAGTTCTGACTAGTTAATGATAACAGTGTAGTAAGTCTTTAGCCAAATCTTTACAGTATGGATTTTACTTACAAGCAAATTACCTATTGATTTCTAGTCATAAAAAGAACCCATCAGTAGGCTCAGACTATTTCAAATTACAAAATCAAAATACACTACACAAATATAGTTGGTTGTGTTTTTTTTACAATTTCACATTTTACATCTCACCTACAGCTCCATAGTTCCAATCTGAATGTAAACATCATCCTCTTTCTGTCTCGCTGTCTCACATACACATCAGGTTTTTCAGTGAGTTTACACCCAGAACGTTCAGCAAACAATTAAGATTCCCCGCAATAAATGCTTAAAGCAGAACTTTACCAGACTTTGGATAGGAAACCAAAAGGACGTCATCTTCTCTAGCATCAAAGGCATCCAAGGATTTTAGAAGATCCGGCGATGACATAGTTGTAAAGGGAATCCCATTGAATCTGTGAATGAGCACTGTCTGACTCTGGGTTGACATATTTGCTAATGTCTTGGATCTCTGTACGTTAGATAACAGCTCAGTGACCAGAGGATTTAGAAGTCACTTGTAAGTCAGATGATTTGCACTGACTAATGAAAATTTAGAATTGAAAACTGCACATTTATATACTTTGTAAAATTCTGTGGAGTCATTTCAGTCCTTTACCTCCTCAGAAAATTAATTATGGCAACTGTAAAATTCTACATAAGTTACCTTGGTTAATCACACAAATACCCTCTATTTCGCTATTATTATATGTTGCAAAGGTTTCCAGATAAACAAATGAGTGACAAAGTATTTTAACAGTGGAAAATAACTAGAACGACAAGTGAATATGCTTACAAAATATGCCTAATATGCTCATTAGCAAATTAGGCCCTGGGGTAAGTGGCTTGTTGCTTCAATATCTAAGAATGTTTCCAGATAAGGAGTATGTATCTTTTAAAATATGCTTTTACATATCTTTTTAAAATGCAGTATTATTTAACTTATGTGAACACAAATAAATTATTTTGTTTTTTAACATATATACAATGGACTGAATTTTCAAAAGTGACTAAAGGGTCCCCATTTTCAGAAAGTGCTGAGCACCCACTCACAGAAAATCTCCCTTCTCAGGTGGTGTCCCAACTTAGACACCTTAAAATCATAGGGACTTGTAGAGCAATTTTCAAAATGACTAATGAAGTTATCTCCACTTACAGGCATTTCCAAGGTGCACATCACCAAAACTGGGGAACATCAGACTCATGTTAAATATTCCCTTGAATATCACATTTCATAACGAATCATGTTTCAAAATTCTATTGGGTCAAATTCGACCCTTATTGAAGTCAATGAAAGCTTTGCCATTGACTACAGTGAATATGATTTCATCTGTTACATCTAACTACGTTTTGGTTCTGTGGTCTTTGTGTACTCAAAGCTAAAATGAAATCACTTAAAACATGGCTGATTAAACAGGAGGAAATTGAACTTCTAACAGAAGTGGATCAACTACTGCCGGTTGTAGTACTGAGCTGTCTCCGCCATTGCCTGCAACAGGAATTCACTGCCAGTTGCCGGATACAGTTAGCATTTCCAAAATACCTCATCAACCATGATTTAAGTTTGCCCTGTGGGTAATTTTGGAAAGAGAGGCTGTTCTGTCTGCTCATTGGTTTGGTGGTTTTCAATGGCTCCATTATTAAGCTAATGAGTGTATTTTTTGTTTCTACAACTGTGGAGCTTTTAGGCAGAAGCTACTTTTATGGAAACTTTCACACAGTCTGGATTCTTTAACTGGAAAGAGGCTTGAGACAAATTTGAAAGGCACTAAGCTGCTTTGTGTCACCAGGAAGCAGCTGATGTTCCTCAAAAGACCACAAGACGCATCGGTGGCATGCTAGATTCACAGTAGTTTCAGAAAAAGGATGAAAGCAGGAAGATCCTAAAGGAAAAACTAAGTAGCATATGTTATCTTGTCAGACAAGGACTTACGCTGCAAGGCTATTATGCTGAGCAAGCTGAAAATATGCCCTGAAGGGGAGAGGTGGACTGCAATCCTGATATTTCAAAGTGGCTGAAAAAGGGTCAAGACAAATTCACAAGTCCAGGTTTTCAAAAATGATATAATGGAAACAGTGGGTCTTAAAATGGTGAGGGATATTTCTGGGAAGATTTTGGATAAGTGGTATACAATTATGGTAAATGAAGCAACAGACTTCTCCAACAAAGAACAAGTGGTTTTATGTTTGCAGTATGTGGATGATGAGTTAAATGGATTGTACAATGTAGCCTATACATCACCGGAGGTAAGCATATGTAATTAAAGTTGTTGTTGCATGTAAGTGTGAATATCAACAGCTGTTCCAGACAATGCTGCAATGGTGCTGTTAGTATGGCAGGCTTAGTATTAGGTGTAGCAAACAGATTGCAACAGGAGGAACCATGAGCTACTATACTCATTGCTATGAGCCTGCTTTGAATTTGGGGTGCCAGGACTATTACAAATAGCACTCTCCTAAGAGACACGCTTGAAATTGTTTAGGAAATCACAAAATTAATTTAAAAATTCACCTAAATGAGATGCTATATTTTGGACATAAAACATCAAGTGTGAAGTACATCACCATGTCCTCTGTCCAGTGAGACTGACTCTGTGCAAAAACATTGGCTTTAGTTTCTGAGAACTACCTTGCACTGTGTGCAACTTGGAAAGCTGCAAATCACGTACGAAAGACCCTATAATGAGAACTTGAATTGGGGGCATAACAGCAAAAATGGGAAAAATTAACTTCCTCTTTAGTATTGAACTAGCTCAAAAATTTCTAAACATGGCAGACAATCTCTTCAAAACTCTGCAAGGCTTGGACATTTTCAGCAACAGAAGATTCATAGATTCAAGGCTCAAAGGGACCATTGTGATCATCTAGTCTGATCTCCTGTATAAACCAGGCCATAGAACTTCCCTGAAATAATTCCTAGAGCAGATCTTTTTGGAAAAACTTCCAGTCTTGATTTTAAAATTGCCAGTTAATGAAGAATCTATGACAACTCATGGTAAATTGTTCCAATGGTTAATTACCCTCACTGGTAAAAATATGTACCTTTTTTTCCCTTCTGAATTTGTCTAGCTTCAATTTCCATCTACTGGATCATGTTATACCTCTGTGTGCTAGATTGCAGAAACCATATATTATTCAAATGTAAATTTTTAATATAATTTTCATAATGTGAGAAAAGAAATTTAGCTTCTATTCCAAACTGGGTGTTTCCTTTTTATCAGTGCAATCCCTAACTTTTTTTGGAGGGGGGCACTAAAGCACCCCCTCCCAAACCCCTAATTTTCTACAATAAACCATGTATAAAAGGTAAATTGTGAGGAATTAAGATATAAATGGAATATTGTTTTACATATCAAAATGTGGTAGGCAATTTAACTGACTACGTAGAAAGTGATTGTTATAGTAAATGGTTTGTTTCCAAACACAAAAGCTTAGACAGTTAGAGTAAAGCTGTAATCTAGTTACAATATTTAAATAGTGTATAAATAGGAACATCAATGGTTCCCAGCCTTTTGGGGCAACTCTGCCAGATTACTAAGACTTCAGCTGTGCCAGCAAGCTCCTGCTTCTTCTATTTACTACCCACTTCATCTGGGCATGCTCTAATTCACAAAGGACCTTGGGCTGTTTTGAAACCCTGTCTCATAATTGCAAAACTGGGGGGTAGAAGAGCTTGAGTTGTATTGTGGTTTGGAAGGCAGAAGACTGAATGTAAGGCAGGCGCAGTGAGTCAGAAGAAATAAACATAAAATTTGGTGTCCTATACATATCAGATGCTACAACACATTCTCCTACATTTGCTGCCAGCTCCATCAATATGAAGAAGGGGTTGGAAGTGAAGAGCAAAAGGGAACCCTGGTGGGAACCCCACCTCCTGGGGAAGACCAACAATTATCCTATACTGCCCTCTGGGGTCTCTCCTAGAGCAAATCCAATTGAGAGTAACCCCTTCCACTTGTGCTGAGGTTGTCAGCTGAGTCCACCAAGTGTCTGAGGTACCCAAGACAGCTGATAATTGTCCACACTGATATAATTAAAACTGACCCTCATCCATGTCCAGGAAGTAGGTCAACTAGTGCAATCTCTGTGCCACACCCAGGGTAGTATCTGAATTCACAAAGGTCAAAGAACAATTTAAAAAAAAAATAAGTAAGTAACTTTGCCCCCATACTCACTCTATCTAGAATAGGGAATTTCTAGGAAATACTGCAGTGATGTTTTTGTTACGAAGGCCAGATTTTTTTAAAGTGACTTTATTTTTGCATATCTCAATTTTTGGGTGCCCAACATGATACCTTTATAGAGAACTGATTTTTCACAGTGTGCTGAGCACCCATCCTTGGAAACCAGGCCCCTTTAAGATGTCTCAAGTTGGGCACCAAAATCATTTGCCATTTTTGAAAATCTTGGCCAAAGGTAATGACAAAGTTTAAGGGTACTTATGAAAGCCACCCATCACTTTTAGTATCTTGGTTCTTACAGCACTTAGCATTCACTAGTTCAATAGCTTCCCATCAGGCAGGAGCAGAAAATGTGAATGTTGATCCAGAATCGGATCATTTTCCCTGAATGTCTCACTCATTTAGCGGTGATTCTCCTCTTACATGGTATATACTGAATTGTCTAGTATATTACAGCATGACTGCAATAGTGCATGTTGCTTTTCTCTCCTTATTAATGTTTCTTATCAATTTCTAGTGCCTCTTAGGCACTCTCCTCCTTTTCAGTCCTCTTATCCTTTCCTACCTTTCCCTGATTAACATTAGACTAATTCTGCCATTGGATGTGTGGATCAGACTCCTGAAGCAAACTAATGGGAGCTCTGCTGTCAAATGGAAGAATTTCACCCCGTGACTTATGCTTAAAATCATTTTTCAGTGCTCTGATGGAATTCTTATATTGCAAATTACTATTTCTGTAGTAACATAAGGTCAAATTCCAGTGAAAGGCACTGGTAGTCCAGAACCTAGGAAGAACTGTTCAGTTAGGCTCTGCCTCATGGCAGTCCTAGTAGTATCTTAAGGCAGGAGAACAGAACAGATGTATGGGATCTGAAACCCTCCCCCTTCACGGGTCCCAGAGCTTGTTCTCTAATCTGAGCCTGAATGACTACACTGCAATTTTATAGCCCCACAGCCTGAGCCCTGCGAGCCCAAGTCAGCTGACATGGGCCAGCAGTGGGTGTTTTATTGACTTGTAGACATACCCTTAATCCGGCCATCTGTAGATCACAGGCTATAGAACACAATCCAGTTTTTCCTCTACTGAGCTACAGAACTTGTCTGACTAAAGCATGTCTTCCAGCAAGACATACAGTCTTGATCTGAAGACTCTAAGAGATGGAGAATTCGCAATTTCCATTGGTAGTTAATTCCAATGGATAAGCACCTTCACTGTTAAATATATACTCTTTATTTCTAATTTGAACAGTCAGCCTGCCACAGAAGAACCGTAAACCCCCGGGACACACTCCCAATGGCAGCTATGAAAACGAGCTGTCAGCCAGGAGTATGAATGAGGAGACTTGTGGGCAGAGGTAGTGGCAGCTGCCCAGGCTCCGCTGGTGCTGTATCTGTTGTGTGGATGAGAAAACCGCATCCATCTCTGGGGCCTGTCTTTCTGGCATCTTTCAGAAACACTAAATTCACTTCATCAAAAAAAAAAAAAAAGGTTGACAGATGCCAAGAATTTCACCTTAACATAGCTTTACGATGGGAGAGTGACACCTCAGCCTTAATTATAGCCATGCAAATGTGCTGCTATAATAGGTTGTGTCCTTCTTAAGTTCAGATTGTTCTATCATTACACTTGCTGTATAATTGAATTCAAAAGTTTCAGACCATATAATTTTCCATAAAGGTCATCACCTCAAGAAA